GTCAAAATGGAACTACTAACAGATCTTTGATCGCCCATTGTTTTCAAAAGAATATTAGTCTTCCTTCCTTTTAATTTCAGACGATGCATTAAATGTTCTGAACAAAAGGTAGCAGAACTTCCAGGATCAAGGAATGCATATGTTTGAATTACCTTTTGTCCTTTACAGGACTTAACTTTAACTGGTACAATTGATAATGCACATTCTCCATCACCGGCCCCTGTTTGACCATATGCTTGAAGGGCACTTTGGACAAAGGCATTTCCTAGTGGTGGAAGGTCCTGTCCTTGAGTGCACTCTCTCTCCTTTTGTTGAATATGCAGAATGCTGGGATGCCTTTGGGCACATATTGTGCAAGTCAAGCGCTTATCACAGTCTCTGCTCATGTGTCCAACACAAAGACAGCCAAAGCAAATACCTTTCTCCTTTAGAAAGTTCAGCTTTTCATTGTGCATCTTGCTTTGCATTTGTGTACACTGCTCCAATAAGTGATCACGTTTGCAGTACAAACATATAACTTGGGAATTTGATCTGAAATCAGACACACAGCACTGACTTGATTTGTTGTTGGTAACAACCGTTGTTGCAAAGCTGTTTCTAATTGTATTCCTAGGTTGAGGTTTCTGCTGCACAGTTTGAGTACTCTGAATATCACCAAAAAATGGATCAGATGACATTTTGACTTGACGTTCAACAAATGTAACAATGTCCCTGAACTGCGCTCTTCGATTGTGCCTTTCCATTAGTTCACAAGCAACAGTTCTCCAATTTTCCCTTAATTTATAAGGCAGCTTCATGATGACTATTTTTAAATTGCTTGGCATCTCCAGCTCCTTCATATACTCAATTTCTTCCATAGCATTACAGCATCCACGCAAAAAAAGAGCATAACTATGCAATGAACTTACATCCTCTGATTTTACAGAAGGCCATCCAAGTACTTTCTCTATATATGCAGTGGCTATTTTGAACTCATTACCAAAATGTTCCTTTAGCAATGCTTTAGCTTGCACATATCCTCTTTGTGGATCCATGTGCTGGCAACTGCGCACAAGTTCCTTAGGTTGACCTTGCGTATATTGTTCCAGAAAGTACAAACGATCTCGATAATTACTGGTTTTGTCCTCTATTCCATGTTCAAAAGCTCTGATGAAAGTTCTATATTGCAAAGGATTACCATCAAACACATTAATATCTCTTTGAGGCAGTGTGCTGGCTTGATGCTGTTGTACAAGAAGAGCAGTAATCTCATTTTGCTTTTGCATTATACTGTAGATGTTTGACGTTGATGTTCCATTACTGTTCTGTATTACACTTGAAGTTTGCATTTGTGAAACAGAATGAAGATCAGATTGCAGTGCACTGTGAGTTTGCTGAATCACATTCCTTGGCTTATATTCCTCAACATGAGGGTTAAGAGTAACTTCTTTGCCGCTCCTTGTAGTTCCTGTATCATAATATGCATTCATACCATCAGAAAGGGTTTTAGGATGCTGATTATCAGAGTTGTTTAAAACCGCAATTTTAGCAGTAGCAGCAGCGATTTCTGCATCAATATCCATTTGCTCTTGTCTTCGCCTCAGTTGTTCCTGTTGTACCTCCAAAGCATGTTTTTCCTTTAAAGCAGTTGCACGTGCAATTAATGCAGCCTTTTCTGCTTCTGCTATAATTCGTGCTGAAGAAGCAGAAGATCTCCCAGTACGCACACTGCTAGAACCTTTTCCACTTGATGGTTTACTTGACCCACGTGAGGAAATATTTGAAACACTATCATTTGGTTGAATGTCCTCTTGAAAAGCATCACCATCGACACCGGAACGTGAAACTTGACTTTCAGTATTCAACCATTTTTGAACATCATCTTTGAACCCACTGAAAATTAACATCTTTCCATTGAACCATGTTTGTTGCTTTTCCTGTTCGTCATTGGGCAAAAGAACCATCACAGAATTGTGCACTTCTCTTGCTTCATCACACAATCTTATGAATTTCCCAAAAGAACATTGCACTTCCTTTTCATACTCTCGGTTAAGCATAAAATCTTTTATAATAACCATCAAGTTGTTTGCTTTTTTGACTTTAGTTGTTCTTGTTTTCTGCAATGCTTCCAATTTTTCTAATAATGCCTTTGGAGTAAGTTTGATACGCCGTTTTTCTTTCACGGACTCAACCTCAATCTTTTCAACCGGTACACTTGTCTCTGTTTGTTTACTAGCCGCCATAACCTCTTCAACACCGTTATTCACACTCATTTTCACAGTGTGCCAAGTTAATTTCCCTTGTCAGTAACTTGTCAGCAACCAATGCATTGGATTTACGCTATTAAAAGTGTGCACACTTCATATGTAGCGCTAAACATACCTTGAATCCATTAGCTCACTTCGTCGCAACTGGTCCTTAAATCACGTCCGGTCCAATTAATCCAAACCTCATCGGAATCCATAGAAAGCTCAAAAGTTCCAAAAGTGATGCGTGATAATCCACAAAGAAGCAATTTTTGACAAAATGTAGCGACAATTGACCATCTTGTCACTCAGAGGTGTTTGTAGGGATATCTGACGCGTGGCTCCTAAACAAACTCACTTCAGTCCAGTACTTCATTTACACAGTTTATTTTGGTTTCAGCTCAGATGCTCAAACAGCTTGCCATCACCAGTTATCATGTCCTCTCTTGATCTTGACACGGTCAAAAATTGTTTGCTTCCCATTACACCTGGCTTCTCTTACTCGTTGGTTACCTTTATACCAAATAAAACCCATACTCCACCCAGTGTTCACCAGTGGAAATACAACAGACATTAAATGAACATAATGGCTCTTACAATGTGCTTTCAAACACCATGTCACAAGAATCAAATATAACATACACAGGATATCATACACGTTATTCACATTTCTTATGCACTTTACATTGAAAATTGACTTACCGAACTCTTTTATAGAGATTTCAAAATGCAGTCACGTGCAATCAAACATCTTCGATCATCTCGAACTATCCGCAAAATACACATACACAAGATGAAACAAATTTTTTAGATTTTCTAGATTAAATGATTATCATCACATTTACTCACATAGAGCATCAATTAAATCAAGGATGATACTCGACACACGGCTGGATTAATCTCATGCACTGTTGTTTTCCGTTTCTCTCTGCATGCAATGCGCGCTATTAACACGTCATCATCAGGGGCTCGCTTTTCTTAAAGGGGTCATTGTTGTCTGATGTCAACTTATAACGTTCGCTTGGTTTTTGCATTCAAAAACATCAAAATGAACAAGTAATAGGCTATTTTGTACCCTGGTTATGAGCCTACCTAAAAAACAGTCAGTTTTTATGGGCGTGTCGCACTGAAGACTTGGAAGTAAACACTGCTGCGAGTGGAGAACAGTTTTGCATATTATAATGAGTTTCACTTATCCGTCGGTGTACGTGGGGGAAAACGTCCTATGTTGTCAAATGGCAACCGGATTTGCCCATACATGTTCAACCCAGAGTCCGTGTGTTGCACAATATTCCTGTCAGATCCAATATAGACGGCACAGCACCGTTCTTTACTCTTAAAGAGCATATTGCAGGTTAAAAAAAAATCGAAATTTATAGATAACCTTGTATGAAAATACCATATGAAAAGTTAATGCAGGATTTAAAATGTTTTAAAACAACATAAGGGCACTAATTTAGAAGATAAAGTGAGCGTTTCTTGGACTGCTAGTAAAAACGGCTTTTTTTTCAACATCGCCCCAGACAGCAAACTGACATTGAATCAATGTGGAAACGACGTCTCTCATGACATTGAAACAACGTTGATTTGCTCATCGAATTAACGTTGAACCAACGTCTGACGCGGCATTCTTCAAAGCTAAATGAAATCGAAAATTAGTTTGCTTTCATAACGTTGAAACAACGCGTTGATTTCAAGTTGATTTTCCGTTAGTTTTGAAAGAATGACGCGTCTGACGTTGGTTCAACGTTAATTCGATGAGCAAAACAATGTCAGATCAACGTTGTTTCGATGTCATATTTCCACGTTGATTCAATGTCAGTTTGCTATCTGGGGCGTCATTTGACGTCATATCAGGGAGCCGCAGCCTCGGCTCAGTGGAGAGCAGGCTGGTGTTCAGTGAGAGCGCTCGTCAGTCAGTGTGCTTTCGTTAGTTTTTTTTTTGCATTTTAATTTATCATCGACATGGTAAATTATTGTGTTTGTGGAGATTGCAAAAACAGCCTGTCAGGACTTCAAGATCGAGTCCACAAGTTTCCATTACAATAAAAGTGACGGTGCTATACCCAGCAAACAGGGGACGTCCTCCGGACGTTGCGAACGTCTAATTAGGTCCGGATCTGGTCCGGTTCATAACGTTCGCTGGGGGACGTTCGGAGGACGTCCGCATTTGGTCCGGTTTATAACGTTCGCTGGGGGACGTTCCGAGGACGTCCGCATTTGGTCCGGTTCATAACGTTCGCTGGGGGACATTCCTAGGACATCCGCATTTGGTCCGGTAACGTTCGCTGGGGGACATTCCGAGGACGTCCGCATTTGGTCCGGTTCATAACGTTCGCCGGGGGACGTTCGGAGGACGTCCGCATTTGGTCCGGTTTATAACGTTCGCTGGGGGACGTTCGGAGGACGTCCGCATTTGGTCCGGTTTATAACGTTCGCCGGGGGACATTTTGAGGACGTGCACTTTGACATTATGGTGCAAAACCATAAAAACAAGTGTTGGTGGTATAAAAATACTGCCTATTAGCATTTTTAGCACATGTTCAAATGAGATATGCTTGAGTGTTCGCAAAAACAATAATAAAAAAATCTGAAAAGTGCCATTGTCCCGGAGTGATAATCCTAGGAACGGGTCATAGCTTTAAAATAAGTTTTAGATTCATGCTTTAATAATGATATTTTTATTCAAGTAGGTTATAATTCTAATTTATGTTTGTAAATATATGACTTGATGCGTTTTAACGGGCATGCGTGTGAAGTTGAGTTGCCATGGAAACGGAGGGTCACCAGTGCAGACAGCAAAACTCCGACTCTCCCTGTTTTCGCTGCTTTCAGGTGAGTTTAGTCTCTAAAATCACACAAATAATACACACGACTGTTCTTGACACTTCTCTTAATTTTAACTGGCACGCTTCTGTTTAATATTTAACGTTACTTTATAGAAATGGGTTAGTGTCTTCGAAAAAATCCATTAGCATCACTAACCGTTTAGCTACAGAAGAGTTAACGTAAGGCTAACGTTATAGCTTGAGCTTTTGTTTATGAATGTTTGGGCTTTTAATCACATTTTATGTGTTGATTAGAGGTTTTGATATTTTTGTAGCCTAAATACTTTGCTTGGAAGTGAGCTAAAAACGTATGTATTTAACATAAAACGTTACGTTTTATTACTTTTAATCGATGACGTCACTTACACGGCTGAAACTAGCTAATGGTTCATAAATATTGATAAAAAGAAAAAGTATGTGATTTCAGCAGCAACAAGATAACTGTTGGCTATGTGACAAATGGTTTGTTGTGTTCCTAGATCGTTCCATGCTGATGCCCTGCTCAGTAGCAGAGTTGAACTGACCATCATCTGAACCTGGCAACCGGACACGCAAACACACACGCTCTTTTTTGATAATGAAAATAAAATTATTTTGTTTCCTAATATTCCTTGTTGTGTGTTTGTTCCTTGGGTAGTTAATATGTTACTTCTAGTGAACGTTAAAGTTCACTATAGAAGTCTGAAAAGTCCCCGAATGTTTGCTAAACGTCCCCCGCGACGTCATGTGAACGTCCCGCGAACGTCCCCCGCGACGTCCTGTGAACGTCCCGCAAACGTCCCCTGCGACGTCCTGAGAACGTTTAAAGAACCCTACACGAAGACGTTCAGGGGACGTTCGCAGGGGACGTTCAGGGGACGTCCTGGGGACGTGTTTTTGTTAGCTGGGTATAGCCTATCTTTCGTTCCTGGTGCGGTTTGAGCAGGTGAAGAGACGGGATTTCTCCTCTGCATCGGCTCGGAAAACGCGGTCGTGTGTAGCGTTCACTTCAGATCAAATGATTAGCATCCCGGCGATATGATGGAGTTCAATATGGTATGCCGAAGCAAGAATATTGATCGTCGCATACTATACCAATGGCATCAAATAGTGTTATATAGGTAAATTAGTCATGTCATGCCCTAAATAAAACTTGTAATTGAAAAACAAAATTGGTTGTTTAAATACTCAAATCTTTAATGTTCTGTTTATGTTATAACCTAAGTGAAAAATATGTATTAAAAATTTACCCGAGTATAGCCTATGCTTTTAGTATAGAAATATACTCAAGTAAAGTTTTTATACATTTAATAGTATATAAATCTACCCTAAACATACTAATGTCTGCTGGCCTGTTATAAGATCATAATAATCTGGTACAATATTGTGAGCACAGTGTCGTTAGCGAACGTGTATACTATAAGCACGTCTCTCACCTAAAAGGCACCTGTCCTGTTCTCCACTGGTTCTCCTCACATCACAGCTCAATTTGTCTCTGACCATTCTGTCTGACATTATCCTGGCCTGTCCCTGATCTCTTTAGCATTGCAGGCCCATAACTTTATGGCTTGATCCGTCATATTTCCTCAGCGTCCGAAATGTCATGCGATCCATTGTTTTCCTGTTGTGTGAATCGACGGCTCTCCCGCTCATTGCGTCACGCCCGCCACGCCCATTTTCAGACGCGGAAGTAAAATTTTCTCACAAAAACGACTGCAGAAGCTTCTGTAGCGTGTTTATACGTATATTTTAAAGAAAATCTAGTTCCTATATTGTTTTTCTATGCATTGACTCGTTGGGTCCTCTAACCTGCAATATGCCCTTTAATCGGTCTGCAAATGTTGACAAAATGTTGACATGTCTTGTTGACAAAACAATCCTCAGTGAAATGAAGCGAACAGACGACGATGTTTTACCTCATCAGCTGGAACGTCATTAAAAATAAATTTTATCCATGCAGTCCTATTGGAAGCTTATGCAGCGACTGTCTTGCACAACCAGGCACTGCACAATATTCTGTATTGCTCGGTATGATCCAGTTTGTCATCACGAGGTAAGCATGTACATGTATGATATTATGTGTGTAATGCGCGAATCGGTGGGCGGGGCTAAACCTGCCGTGGTGAAGCAGGCCTTCTGTGGGGGTGGTGTTTTATCCTCTTTGTCGTCATAGTTCCCCACTTTTAAAAACGAGTCGTTTTTAGAGGCTGTGTCAATAAAAGCTTTTATTGGACTAACAAGGACGTTTTCAGTTCTGAAACTTACAGGATATTCTTATAATATGATGACCTCTTAGATGTCAAAAGCTCAAGGAAAATTTGATTTCTCAGTTCATCACCCCTTTAAAGGGGAAGCACTTTTTTACAAGTTCAAACACCACCCGGCTACATAATAAAGAAAACGGAAGTGATCACCTGTGCCCACGTGACAATGAATAACCAATAATAAATAGAAAACAATTAATGCTCCTACAGTGGATATAGGGCGGATGATGCATAGACTGTAAAAGAAATGGACAGAGAGACCCCATTGATTTCAACAGAGAAGACTGAAGCCCGAATATTGCACTTCCTGTCTGATGCAGGCTAAAACTGAGCGTGACGACAGTCTGACCGTTGTTAATCTTCTAGTAGCTGTGCCACAACAAATCTGAATCACCTAATTCCTCAAAAACGTTGTCCTTTGGTAATGCCACGTTCTGTTGTTTTCTTAGCAGTTCTCTTAAGCTTTCACTGCAGCAATAGTGTTGTTGCTGATATAATGTGTTTAAGCTTTTTCTGCCATTTGATTATTATCACAGTACTTGTGTAAGGCTGCTCTTGTGTAACTTCTTGTCGTTATGTTATGTGCACATCATGGACACACCGTGACAAAACAAGAACTATGTCTAAACACACTTAAACATTCACACACAAATGGAAACTCAAGTCAGATCCTACATTTAACATTTTAATGCTCACTATTATATTTCTGGTAACACTTATGGTTCAATCGATAATGAATAACTACACAGGTCCAAATGAGTAATATTAAATAATAAAATCACTATATGATATTTTGATGGCTGATGACTCAATATGTTCCAGTAGTCTCCATGACTCCATATGGATTCAATGCGACTCCAGAGGAATGCCCGAAAACTGGGCACAGACAGGTAAGGTCCCGACAACTGCATTTAAAAATCAGTTTCTTTAAAATTATTCAGCTGATAAATAGTTCTCTAGGAAATAGGCTAATTATTAGTTTTACTAAATCATAAGTCTGCTATGCCACATATTGATAATGCAAACAACCTTGTGTATTCGTTTACAGTAGCAGTTAAAATAATAATGTGGTGTTAGTCATTGGTCCTGTATTAGTTGTTGTTTAGTTTTGCATGAATTATTACATCACATTTTCAGTTATTGATTAGTTATACCACTTTCATGTGTGTGCTATTACGTACTAATTTGTTAATCAGAGTTTCTTGTTAGTTAATAGTTACTAGATTCTTAATATTGGGTTACTCATTTTTTCCTCTGTAGATATTCATTAGCGAAGGAACCGTATTTAAAGAGTTACCATATTTCTTAACATGCTATATATGGTAGGGTTGATCTTTGAGTAATATGATTGGATGGTCTGAACATCATGGATGATTCTGCTTTATCTTGGGTATAAATATGACCCATCTCTGCGTTTGCTTGATCATTTCCTGAGACCTCACGACCCTGCGAAACACATCTGATCTACAGATAACCTGAAGATTCGTGAAGGTGCATCATAAAACAAACCAGAGGTTTACTATCCCAGACTGCCTGTGAGTATCAGTTCACATATATCACTCAACACACTTGTAGCATGCAAGTCTTTTTTTTTTTTTTTTGGAAAAAGGTCTATCAATAATCTTCAAAGCATTGGGTGATAAGTATTGAAAAAAGCAACATACTTTTGAGAAAAATGTTTCATGGGGTGATTTACCTTAACTTTAAATGTTAAGAACTTTAATCAGCAAGTATATACAATACACAAGATATTTGTCTTGACTCAATGGAATGGACTTGATGGAAGCAAAGAAGAGTCAAAAACACGTTTACACAAATACAGAAAACAAAGGGATCGTTATCATCTATGGAGAAAACGTGCACAGATGGGTCAATTTAAATGAACTAAGACACAGTATGTGCAAGTAAAAATAAAGGAAGGGTCTCGAATGTCAGTAAAGGTGTTCTAATGTGTGTGTTGTTCAGCAAGTCATGGAGATTCATCAGTCTGCTGTGATTCTGCTGCTGGTCTTGTGTGTGTCGTTCTCCACTCATGCTCAACCACCCGGTTATCAACATTTCCGCAATCAGCATGTGGGTCCTCTTGTGAACGTGGAAATGTGTACCAATGTAATCATGGAGAGACGCATCACTGCACCTGACGGTAGCTGCAAACCTGTCAACACCTTCATACAAGCAAATGAAAATGTCATCAACCCAGTTTGTGGCAGAGGAGGAACTCCACAGGGCGGAAACCTGTTTAGGAGCAACAATCCTTTTAACGTGGTCACGTGTAGATTACAGCCTGGGTCGACACAGCCATACTGTGTTTATCGTAGAGGGCAGTTGTCCACTCGTAATATAGTGTTAGGGTGTGTACGCGGCTGGCCTGTACATTATCAAAATGAGTAAAGTACAGATGACATCAGGCTGAATAGAGCAGCTTTATTTGCTAATCATTTGTTCACTTCTCCTTTCCCATCTTTCTTTGTTTTTCAAGTGCAAAAAGAGAAGAAAAAGTGAGTCAATCATGAAGCCAAACATAAAATAAATACAAAATACAAATAGAAAATGTAAACCTCTCTCTTTATGAGACTCTGATATGAATGTGAACGAGAATATCTTCACTCATTTACCTTAAACGAGAATGAGGTTAAAATATCTTTACAATATTTCTTTAAGTTGATGGTGTATTCCTCACTTCTTTATTCATGTCTCTGTGTGTAATTGTGTTTTTCATGTGCAAGATTTGGCTAGTCTACTGAATTTATTCACTCTGTTAACGCTTTTTGAGCATTAAAAAAATGTTTAATGGGAGTAGTGATTGAGCAAAAACAGACGAGGGGAGAAAGACACAGATGTTTTTACAGCTGTCTGTAAACCTCAATAAAACTTCTCTAACATTAAACTCGTCTGATGGATTGTCTTGCATCTCAAACTGAAGGAAAAATACCCAATTGCTTAATTTATTTGTCTTTGCTCTATTTTTTTTTTCAAAGCGTAAATGACAAAATATCATCCACTTCATATTTTGCTTCTTTTTCATATACACACATTAAAATCAATGAATTATTGTGAACCATTTATGAACAGAATTTTTTATGACCACATTTGCAATATTTAGAGCCAGTGGTTCTCGAAGACAAGTCCCCCCAAATTTAAAAATGTCCAAATTGTTTAAATCGTCAATCAAATCAAAACTTTTACTTTTCGCAAAAGCAGAGTGTGAATTCCAGCATGAAGACTCAGTTTAACATTGAAAGAGAGTGAGGTATGATTTAGCGAAAAGGTAAAGGTAACCCATTAGTAATCTAGTGTTACTACTGTACATCATTCTAAAGGAATTACTAATATACATATACAGTTTTATTAAAGTTGAATTAGCTGACCTTCTTGTTTTTACTCTTTAACCCCTTAACTGTCACCCCCCCCCCCCCTTTTTGAGAATGGGGGTTAAATGCTCTATTCACACTTAAATGGTTGTAATTTAAGAATGCCTTGGAATATATACCCAAGTTTGGTCTTGTTGTAAAGGAAACACTCAGCAGAATATTGCTGAAGTGAAAACACTTCAAAAAATGAAAGTATGAAAAAGTTATGGAAGTTTTAATTCACAGTAAATCAAATATACTGTACTATATATTTTTTTGTATAAAATATATATTTTACAAAATATTTTTACTCTAAAATTACTATAAAATCAAAGCCATAAATCTAACCAAGTTATGTTCCAAATTTGAAGTTGATATCACAAAAATTGAAGTTCCCATGAGATTTTGTTTAGGCGTAGTACCAAAAATAGCCACCGGGTGCCATTGAATTCCATTGAATTTAGTGGTGTACATTCTGCCTTAACAATAATACATTTCTGTCCAAATATAAATTTTGTCACAAAATTTGGAACCTTCAGACTCAGACCTTTCTGACAATATGTGTTTTGTCAAGATTAATAAAGGTTTTGATCATAAATTATGAAATATAAGGATGTCCAAAAGGGGAGGAGCCTCATAAAATAAGTACCGTTTCTATGGTAACGCAACGTTCGATTATAAAATGGTTTTCACAGGATGCATTCTGAGTTTATAAGCTTTCAAATGATACCTAATTTATGATAACTACTAAAATGTGTGATATAATAAAAAAGGCGATAAAAATATGATTATATTTTAGAGGATAATATATACATATATATTATCATTTTTAGAGGATAATTTTATACTATACTTTTTATTTTTTATTGAAAACTACTAGATTATATGTTTTATTATGAACTTTTAGCATAAAAACAGAAGTTTCAATGATTAAAAGTGGGTGCATCAACTTTTTGTGACAAAGGTCAGACCTCCTGTTATGATGCAGATTTTTTTAGGTGCACTCTTGTCATAAATTCATTAATTACTCTTCCTACATCATTTTTAACACAAAACAGGGGTCGAATATTTAATTAGAAGTCTTAGACCTTTCCAAAAATATATAATTTGTCATAATTAGATTAGGATTTAATAGAAATATAGTGAAGTAAAGTTAGGCGTCCCGGTACCGGGACGGTGACAGTTAAGGTTAAAGGGTACTCCGATTAGTGAGGCATGTTGGCCTTATAAGATTAACGTGGGCGTCAGCTATAAAAAGGTGATACAAAAACACTCCACATGTTTTTGATTTTAATAAAAACAGTCGAAGATCCGTTCACTCGTAGGCTGCCGTAGTTATTTACGTCTCAATGCATTCTGAGGTTGTAGCCAATTTTGACAGTAATGAGATGAACACGTCTGCCGTTCAGCCTTTTCAGTTTGAACCCAAGCGCACAGTAGGCTTAAATCAAGAGAATAACGATAGGCGTACTCAAGAGTTACATGAAAATGAAGATTATCAGAGAGTTGAAGAACCAAGATGGGGCAGTTCTCTTAAGCTTTCACTGCAGCAATAGCGTTGTTGCTGATATAATGTGTTTAAGTTTTTTTTCTGCCATTTGATTATTATCACAGTACTTGTGTAAGGCTGCTCTTGTGTAACTTCTTTTCGTTATGTTATGTGCACATCATGGACACACCGTGACAAAACAAGAACTATATCTTCACACACAAACGGAAACTCAAGTCAGATGAACATTTAACATTTAGAAAGTAATGCAAGTGGTAATCACTGTTAACTAATCAACTATATTTTTATGCTTCCCAGATAATTCATGAAAAACTATTCAACAACTAATGCAGGACAAATGACTAGACGTATGACTCAAGTGTTACAAACTTCTGAAGGAACTACTAAATATTTGGATCCATATTCTAAAGATCATGACTCAATTGTTACATACCTAAATACACATACACTACAACACTACACACAAGTGTTACTACAGTACTATACCATCATCTTCACTTTAGATACGGATCCAAATATTTAGAAGTAGTATCACTTAAGTCTTTATTACTATGATTCTTACAGTAGTTACTAATAAAAAGCCAATAAACTGTAGAATTTTCTAATCATTCACAAGATATCACACACACACACACACCCTTATATGAGCTAGGAGACATACATAAAAACATATTTTTTGAGAGGTAGGTTAAATAATAAAATCACTGTTTGATATTTTGATGGCTGATGACTCAATATGTTCCAGTAGTCTCCATGACTCCATATGGATTCAATGCGACTCCAGAGGAATGCCCGAAAACTGGGCACAGACAGGTAAGGTCCCGACAACTGCATTTAAAAATCAGTTTCTTTAAAATTATTCAGCTGATAAATAGTTCTCTAGGAAATAGGCTAATTATTAGTTTTACTAAATCATAAGTCTGCTATGCCACAACATATTGATAATGTAAACAACCTTGTGTATTCGTTTACAGTAGCAGTTAAAATATTAATGTGGTGTTAGTCATTGGTCCTGTATTAGTTGTTTAGTTTTGCATGAATTATTACATCACATTTTCAGTTATTGATTAGTTACACCACTTTCATGTGTGTGCTATTATGTACTAATTTGTTAATCAGAGTTTCTTGTTAGTTAATAGTTACTAGATTCTTAATATTGGGTTACTCATTTTTTCCTCTGTAGATATTCATTAGCGAAGGAACCGTATTTAAAGAGTTACCATATTTCTTAATATGCTATATATGGTAGGGTTGATATTTGAGTAATATGATTGGATGGTCTGAACATCATGGATGATTCTGCTTTATCTTGAGTATAAATATGACCCGTCTCTGCATCTGCTTGATCATCTCCTGAGACCTCACGACACTGCTGAAACACATCTGATCTACAGATAACCTGAAGATTCATCTAACCTCAAGATTAAGCCTGGCTGCATTCACTTGGACTTTGTAAAGGTGCATCATAAAACAGACCAGAGGTGTATAGTCCCGGACTACCAGTGAGTATCAGTTCACATATATCACTCAACACATTTTTAGCATGCAAGTTTTTTTTTTTTTTTTTTTTTTTGGAAAAAGGTCTATCAATAATCTTCAAAGCATTGGGTGATAAGTATTGAAAAAAGCAACATACTTTGAGAAAAATGTTTTATGGGGTGATTTACCTTGACTTTAAACCAACAAGTATATGTGTGTTAAATTTAACAATGAAGTTTTTGCTGTGATACGAAGAGCCGTAGTTCACTGACAAGCTGAGCCATATCGCATTAATTATCGTTTGCGATATGTTCTCGATATTAACGCGATATGGCTCAGCTTGTCAGTGATCTACGGCTCTTTGTAGTAAATGCCGCTCCATCTGAAAGCAGGTGAAGGTGATTTACTACTAATCAAGGAACCGGTGTTCTGTCGATCTGTCCTACCTTGTCAGATTTTCCTACCGTAGCGCAAAATCTATCGGTTCATCCTACCTCGTCGTAAAATCCTACTGTCGCGTCTGTGACTAAGTACATAAAATATTTCAGTGTAACTTTGCCGAATTTTCTTATTGGGCCATGTTACGGTGATTTTACAGTGCAAAGTAAGTTACCTCTTCAGATTGTCCTATGAAATAAACGGTAGGATGATTTTACGTTGCAAAATACCTCATCAGATTGTGCTACCAGTATGAAATAAACGAGAAGTATGATTTTACAGTGCAAAATACCTCATCAGATTGTCCTACCAGTATGAAATAAATGAGTAGTATGATTTTACAGTGCAAAATGCCTCATCAGATTGTCCTACCAGTATGAAATAAACGAGTAGTATAATCGTGTGTGTGTTTATATTTTGCACCAAACAATCAAATCAATTCCCCGCCAATTCATCAATTTAATGTGAGAGTAAACAGTTCTCATTACTGCTATGTAATAATTGACATAAATAGTGAAAAACTTACCTCAGATGAAGAAGATCTCGCGCAAGTACTAAAATATTATGGGCGTGTTGTTCAGCGTGACAAAAATGACGTATTATTGATGTGCGCATGCGCAGTAAGCCTTGGTAGGACAATCTAACGGGTAGGATGGAATGTCAGAACACCTGTTTTACTGATTAGATGCGTATAACAATATCGTGCGATATATCGCCCAGCCCTAGTTATGAATGGGTTTTTATGTACTTGTGCCTAAGACAAGTTTCCTTCAGACACGAAAAAGTTATCTTATCTTATCTTATGACTCCATGTTGTGTTGTCTGTGTTGCAGTCATGGCGTTCTCTTGGCTGTCTGCTTCATTGATCCTTCTGGACATCATCCTCAGCTCGGTCACATGATCCCATGTCTTCTGTCGTCTCACCACGCCACAGGGTGAAGAGAGACCAGCCTTTTGAAAACAGAGAGAAAGTGCGTGAATCTTTGGAAGTGGCAAACAACTTGCTCACTGTCGTCAAAGACAGTTTTGAAGTGATTGGAAAGACTGATACCAAAAAGTTGTCAAATGTCATGAAGAATCTCGCCAACGTCGCCAGCTTGGCGCCTGGCATCGGAGGTCTGATTGCCTCTGTTGTCAACATGGTCTTGATCTTCATCCCTCAGGATGACCCGGTGCTGAATGCCGTGCAGACAGGGTTTGCAGAAGTGAACAGGAAGTTGGACTCTATCTCCATCCAGATCTCCAACCTGGCAACCGATGTAGAATGGTTCAACTACGCCAGCGTCTACTCTCAAGACGAGCTCCGCATCCTCAACGCCTGGAGCAAGTTCAATGATCTCCTTCAGAAAAATCAGTTGGTACAAAATGAAGAGCAGAAACTCCGACTGGCAGAGATATTCGTCAACTACTACGAGAACACAGGAACTGAAGCCAGTGTGGCCAACCTCTACCATTACCTCGTGGTCAAAGACACGTCTCTCAGTGGAAACCTCAACGAACTGCTGAGGAAGAAGTTTAAATGTGACTTTCTAGAAATCAGTAAATATAACGTCTATTTCAGCAGTTTGATGTGGAAGGGGATGGTGCTCAACCAGTTCTACTGGAAACTGATCAGGCTGGATTCATCAGGGATAGAAGCCAAACACAACCAGATGTTCAAGAACGTCTATAAGGCTCAGAAATCAGCTCTGGAATACTGCCTGACCAACCACATGACGTATGTGAAGGAAGATGTGGAGGAGATCAGGAAAGGACTCAGTACTGACAACAAAAATGCCATCGCTGAGAAGGTAAAAGAGTTTCTGGATAAGAAGTACACCTGGTACAATTGGGTGGTGCTGGTGTACGACACAAACCAGGCTGATTATTACATTCTATATGATCTGACTAAGATTATAGAGGACACGATCATTATCGCTGTGGGATACACTCTGGTAGCAAGTGTAGAAGATGAAAATGCAGTTAGAAAGGCAGCCGATAATTGCTTTATAGAAAAACAGTGTGAAATTAAGAACAAACTACATTACTGTGGTTATAGCTGGAGGCCTAATCCACATTTTCTCGTAAATTCAAGTTCACTGAATATGCTAAAGCGACACATGCTGCTTATGGGGAAAAGTTTGCTGTGGCTCCAGCACCCTTCCACCAAAATGACTGTGGGTTGGCTCAAAGTACAAAAAAAATTTCCAGCTATTACTCCCGTAGGTTGCCTGTCTGCCAACAATGCAACAATGGCATGTGCAAACAGCTGCTGGACTCCAATGAATGGATGTGTGAGTGTTCAGATGGTTACTATGGGGAGAGCTGTGAAAAGAAAAACCCCCCTCACACCGCTATAGTGGTCGATGTACCGGTTGTACCTGATATCAGCATCATTGACACCAAAATGAAAACAATGGAGGTCCAACTCAAGGAGATTCTCAACATCCTCAACCACAAATGTCGTGTCTAATTTGAGATATCTGACCACTGATGGACAACAGGAACGATGACTTTCCACTGAACACACATCAATTGACCGAGCATCTGAGAATGGCACCATGGAGGAAGAACAAGTAAACAATGCTCAGTCAAGACTCAATTATGTTTAGGCAACAAATATAGTAAAACTTCTTCCCAACGGTGAAGCGTGTCAATGTCAGAGATGAGTTGTTTCTTTAGAAAGCTGGAGGATGATGTATTGATCTGTTGTTCTGTCCTCATTTCCATGAATGTCTCCAGCTGATCCGCACGACCCAAACAGTCACTATACTGTACTATTATTAAACATAATAAGCAACAGTTTAATCTGACTACAAAGTTTATTTGATTTTTAAACCATCAACTAAGTTGTTTATTTTGATTAAAAGCTTGAAGGTCCTGAAAATAATTAAATATGAAAAATGAAAGTTATTCATTATACTGTTAAGTTTCTGCAGTCTGTTTCAGCTCATTGTGACTCAGTTGTTCTTGATCTGACCACCAGATGGAGATAATGTGACAGAAAACAAATAACAGCATACTTGTACTGTGCACAATGACAATAACGTTAAATCGAATCTAATAAAAGAATTACTAACTAAAGACTCACTCGTTTTTATGCAACTAAACGTGTGATTTGTTTGAATACAATGCACAAACTACAGTGAGAAATGACGACCACCTTCATATTGTTTGGTCTTTTTTCCTTTGTTGTTTTAGACTTTAAAAGGTAATTTATCTTCAACCTGGACTCTATGTGTTAATTCAAACACAAGTGTTAAAGTCTGCTAATATCTTCATCTCCGGGCAGGAAAAAATATTCATTTTTATTATTTATTTATTTGTATTTTAGTATATTGGTTTTTAGTTTTAAAGAGGTAAATGATACTTGTCATGACGATATAATTATTACATTCTTTTATTGGTGATTTTGGCAGGTTTTTGAGATCTCTCGGGTGGCTGGAATTCGTCAAACGGATCCATAGACATATATACACTATGTGTATGTCTATGAAACGGATCTGGCAACACTGGCAGTGTCACAGCTCTCTCCCTGCTGGTAAGTTACCTTGATCGTTGCATTATCCAAAAAAATAAGTTTGGATTGTTTCCAAGTGCACTCTTGGACTTTTAAACTATACACAAATTAACTTCTAAAGTCTGTCAGCTCCTAGTTCTATTAGTCGAGTAAATAGGCTATGCATTATTTGTGACGTGTGTATTAGCCTGCTTGTAAACTGAACCTAGCTATCATTTAAGACTATGCAACATCAATTAACTGGCTACTACCAACTTTGTGTCTTGTTTGTCCCCGGTATTTATTTTTTTTATCTGGTTTTGTTATGTTCCGTGAATTGTTATTTATGCTGCTTATTAGCATTAGCACAGGTGTTGTATGCTCGCACGTGCTGAAATATGTATTGTGTCATTCCAGAGTTCAGCTTCGTGCGGCTCGCCAAGCTTCATTTGTGGCTCGCGCGGCGGTAATTATACGGTGATAATCATTCAGTCACTACAGATATTTCATAAAAAAAAAAATATTAACTCAAAGTGTATGATTACAAATATTTCGATCGGATTGAAAGGGGTGGTTAATCGAGAGAACATAGCTTACACTTGATCGATTGAAAACGAAACTGAAAGGACGACGTATGAACGAGCTGTTGTCCAGATGAATAAAAGTGTCATATTAATGATGGCCTGTCATTAATTCTCCTTTCACACAGGATCATGTAATTTAGACATATAATTTTAATCACAGACTCGAGTTGAGTTAGTCCTGGTAATGGAATTGATTATTTGATTATTATTTTGCTTTTCATTGTTTTACAGCCTAGGAGACAAGAAGAAAGAAAACTCTTGGAACATTTAATATCGCTTTACTGAAAAAAACCCAAGGTATATCAGCTCTTCATTTAATTTCTATTAATATTTTCTTCACTAATCACAATCGAACTGCTTTATTAAGTCCAGTGTGTGTGTTAAGTGTGTGTGTTGTTCAGCAGGTCATGGAGGTTCATCAGTCTGCTGTGATTCTGCTGCTGGTCGTGTGTGTGTCGTTCTCCACTCACGCTCAACCACCACATATAAAGCCCCGCTATCAAAAATTCCTCAATCAGCATTTGGATCCTGATATGAATGAGCAGAAGTGTGACAGTGAAATCAGAAAGAGAGACATCAGTGGAACTGGAAATGTCTGCAAACCTGTCAACACCTTCATTCAAGCTAATACAAATCAGATTAAAGCCGTTTGTGGCGGAGGAGGAACTCCACAGGGCGGTAACCTGTTTAAGAGCAACCAGCCTTTTCCTGTGATCACCTGCAGATTACAAAGTGGGGTCTATCCAAAATGTGAATATCGTAGAGGGAAGAAGTCCACTCGCTACGTTGTGTTGGGCTGTGAGCAAGGCTGGCCTGTACATTATGAAGAAGGCATAGTTGATCATTCCATGCGTGAATTATGATAACCTCAGTCAAGATGTGTTTTTGCTATGCGTTTTTAATGGTCTTAGGGCACGAAAGACAAGATATGAACTTTTATTGTTTCGCACATTTGTGACCCTGGATCACAAAACCAGTCATAAGTCGCACGGGTATATTTGTGGCAATAGACCTTATTCAGAGCAGCGCCATGACAGGTATGAAAGTGAGGCTGTGAGGGATAGACTTACCGTGTTTCCAATGGCATCCGCTATAAAAAGCTGAATAAAGCGGCTAGATTACTTACAATTTTCCACAGCTTACATTGTCGGGAGTTTTTTGTCAACTGACATTTCTTTGAAAGATATTTTTCCAGTGTTTCATGAGCAGAACAATCCGAAAACACATTAAATAACAGTACAGCCCATTGAAGAGATGCAAGTCTATCCCTCACAGCCTCGCTTTCATTCTCATTAAAAATCAAAGATGGCGCTGCCGTGAATAAGGCGTATAGCCAACAATACATTGTATGAGGCATCTGTTTTTTTATGCCAAAAATCATTAGGATATTAAGTAAAGATCATGTTTTCAAGTTCAAATGTTCTGTTGTAAATATATACTGTAGGCTATTAGAAAAAATAATGCACCACGCGGAGTGGCCGTGATACTTGCACCAACCAATCAGAATCAAGCATTCAACCGCCCCATAGTAAAAACCAGACATCTATGCTTAACTGTATTATTTCTCAAACAGGCAATAGGAGGAACGTGCAACGATCAGGTAATGTGTGTTATTAGTCCTTCAGCAGCTCCTCTATGAGAACTGAACATGTCAACATGTTATAGCGCACCCTAATTTATGTAAAAATTGTGAAATATTGTGTTAATCTCCAAACAGGTCACAGAAAAGATCCTAAAAATATGAAAAATTAAATTAAAAAAAAGAAAAAAAAATTGGTCCACAACTCATGTGTTATGAGTTGTGTTGCAAGTCTTCTGAAGCCATATAATAGCCTTTTTTGTCTAAAAGGACTAGCTACACTTTGAGTTATAATTCAGAGTTCAAATGTTTTATATTCAAATGCAAATGATTAAGGTATAAGAAAAAATGCATATATAGCATTATTGGTGCCAAATCTGTGATATAATTTTTCTGAGTAATATGAATGAGATTTGAGAGCAATGTGGTAGGTATTAGCTAAGTGAATACCACATTAAGCTTTTATTTACTAATTTGTTAATACGAGATTTTAGTTAGTTAATAGTAGTTAGAATGTTAATATTTACTTATTTATCCTAGTTATTCATTAATAAAGGAACAATTTTCTGAAGTGTTACTGTGTTTCTTATCATCTTCTTTGAGTATCTTCCACAATGCAAAGTTCTTTTCATGAAATGGCATGTGATCTTTGATATCAAACCAAATTATGAATGATATCCAACTGTCAGGTGTTCTGGTTGACTAAACATGCTAAACACACAAAACCTCCAAGGATGATATAGGCTACTATAATACTGATGTATTATTGTGTGGAGTGTGTTTTTATCTGTAAGGGAATGTACAGTTAAGTGTTTCTTGCTTTTCTACATTTGAGACGTCCAATTAATTTAGTCGAATTTGAAGAAAAGTCTATCAAATCTTCTTTAATATTAATAGAGAGGGTTTTTTTTTTTTGTCAGGGATTTTTTTGTTATATAGGTCAAATTTTACAATAAGATTTAATTTGTTAACTTCAAATGAAACATATTAACCAACATGATCTAATAATGATCAATACATTTTTTATGGTATGTATTAATCTTTTTTAATGTTATAAAACAATCGCCATTTAATGTTAGCTGCACAGCGCATTAACTAATGTTAACAAATACAACTTTTCATTTTGATAATGTATTAGTAAATGTTGAAATTAACTAAGATTAATAAATGATAATTGTTGATTCTTAAGTTCATGTTAAAGGAGTAGTTCACTTTTTAAAAAAACTTTTGCTGATAATTTACTCACCACCATGTCATCCAAGATGTCCACGTCTTTCTTTCCTCAGTCGAAAAGAAATTAAGGTTTTTGATGTCAATTTTCTCCATATAATGGACTTCAATGGGAACCAAACAGTTCAAGGTCCAAACGAGAGTTTCAATGCAGCTTTAAAGGGCTTTAAACGACACCAGACGATGAATAAGGGTCTTATCAAGCGAAACGATCGGCCATTTAAAAAATAAATAAAAAAGTTTTATAAGCAAAAATGCTCACCTTATTCTGTTCTGTGACGAGCGTTCGTGACTCTCCTGTTCAAATTCGTTCATCAAAATGAACAAATCTTTTTTCGAGTCATGACTCGAAGGGAAGATAAGACCCTTATTCATCATCTGGTGTCGTTTAAAGCCCTTTGAAGCTGCACTGAAACTTGATTAAGTTTCCTGATTAAGTTTTTGCATCCTGATAAAGTTCCCTTGGCCTTTGGAATTAAAATATCCCCACATCATCACACACCTTCCACCACACCTAGAGATTGGCATGGGGTACTTTCCATAAGATCATCTTTCAATGCAAATCAAACCAGCTATTAGGCTAACTGAAGTAAAACCATGCCAATCTCTAGGTGTGGTGGAAGACGTGTGATGATGTGGGGATATTTTAATTCCAAAGGCCAAGGGAACAGTGTTGTAGTCGAGACCACCTCACTCGAGTCCGAGTCGAAACCAAGACCAGAGAGAGTCGAGTCCGAGTCAAGACCGAGTCCATAGAGAGTCGAGTCCGAGACCAGAGAGAGTCGAGTCCGAGTCGCGTCCGAGACGGTCGAGTCCGAGTCGAGACCGAGACCAGTGAGGGTTGATTACCTAATTTACTTTTATTTACTTAGAGAAATCCTTTATTTTTACTGAATTTACTTAGAGTTTAAAAAATATGATCAGTTTAGGGTAAAAAGGCCACATAGTAGGTGGTGTTAAAAGTAATTTTATTACAATTTGTCATGCGCAGTTGCGCACTAGAAAATCACCAAACACTGGGCGTGTCAATCAATTTAAAGAAATATTTTATTAACATACATTAATAATCATGAAAAATATTTTGAATTGAACTCGAGTGGACTCGGGAATAAGTCCGAGTTCTAAAAAAAAAATTGTTCGAGTACGAGTCAATTCCGAGTCCAAATGCACACGAGTCCATGACAAGACCAAGACC